TTTATTGCTTATTTTGGAAAGATCATCAAAATTTTAAAATTGAAACAATTGGATGTGTACTTGTGACCGGCACTGTACATAAAATGTTTCACAATTTTGGTGTAACATGCTGCGCGCGCACCCTGAATTTCCAACACTGATATAAACTATTTAAATTTCAACACAAGTAAAACAATGCTCGAAAAACTTTATGTTCATTTAAATCTAGTACCAGGGGTTCTCCAAACGCGTCCTAGTCCAATATTTTAAATATTGTAAATATACTCAAAACAACAGACTTCCATTTTCTAACTGTCCAATTCCTTCTCTAGAGATGCCAATTTAACCAATTTGTCTTTATTGATCGTTTAGAATAGTTTTGTAGCAGGAACGCGAGAAAAGAGATTCAGTTCATACAAAGTACTTCTGACAATCTTAATCGAGAATTATTTCATTGAATTTGTTGTCTTTTATTTATTAGAACGAGATTTTTTCCATTAAGATACTTTTAATGGTACGAGATACTGTGATTCTATTAGTATCATGAATTTTTGATATTTTTGAAATTAGATCATTATAAAAATCGTATGTTGGCTTTCACTAAATCTGACTTGTTCAAAATTTATTAAAAATGATATTTGTTTACTAAAAACTTCAAAGCAACTTGGATGTTTATTTAAGGCGCGTATCTTTACATGTCAAAATCTTAGTGTAGTGTAGTTACTAAGAAATATCTTTGAAAAAAATTTTTGGACGAATTTTATTTATTATTTTTTTAGATATCACAGTAGTAGATGTGCAATAATTTTTTGACCATGTAGTGTTTTTTACAAGGATGAGATCTTTATTGATTGTCAATGGCATAATAATGACATTACACAAAATTTTACAACATATCCATATTCTAAGCAGAATATTGAATATAAAAAACGGTCAATTTGACAATTTTTCAAAAAATTTGAAGTGATAAAAATGGAAGGAAAAAAATCAAAAGACTGCAAACAAAATAAACGAAACAAAGCAAATAAAACGAATAAAACAATTGAGATGAATGAAGCAAATAAACAAATAAATGAATAAAACAAATAAAATGAATAAAACAAATAAATGAACAAAACAAATAAATGAACAAAACAAACGACTCGAATAAAACAAATGGCTCAAATAAAACAAAGGTAAAATCTAAACACAGATAAAACAAATGATTTAGATAAAACAATGATTCGAATAAAGAATAAATGAATAAAATGAATAAATGAATAAAATGAATAAATCAAATAATTCGAATAAACAAATGATCCAAATAAATATAAAAAAATGATTCGAATAAAATAAATGATTCGAATAATTCAAATAAAACGAGTAATAATTCAAATAAACAAATATTTCAAAGGATTTGTATCAGAAGGAATAGGCATTCATAGAGACGATGAATGAAAATTTGATTTATGATATTACCTCCAAGTTACAAATTTTGGATCTTTTGGTTAGCACAGCCACAAAAACATCAATTGTTCACGAGCACATCGAAAATTCTGTTGAAAAGAGAGCTGATTTAAATAAAGAGAAAAATGAAACTTTAAGGGAAAAAAGACAGATGTAAGGAAACATATATCAAAATCAAATGCTTTTATCATCATCACCATCATCATTATCATTAGTCGTTCTTGTTGTTTAACGAGACACTTTTACATATTTTCATTTTTTATTATTGTTGTTAAAATTAGCACATCTTCCATTGGTCAAATTGCACAAGGTATTATGCCAATTTTGAATCCAAGAAAAGTGGGAGTTCTGACATAAAAAACCGACTGAAAAAAAATATGACAAGGCTTCAATCCTAAAACAACTCAAAGATGAAGAAATATCATTACAAAGAAAGGTATATCAAAGAAGGATAATGTTTCTAAAAGTTATCGTTTTTATAGATCCTTTTTTTAATAAAAAAATAATTGATAAAATTAGGAAGAACAAATTGAAAAAGACAAGAAAAAATATGTAATGCCTCATTCTATACCTTTAGGATATGATAGATTTTATAACAAGTATTTTTATTTTGATGGTTTGGGTATAACAGTTGGAGAAAAATATGGTACAGGTAAAATTTGGGTACAAGTTCCCCAGGAACAAGATTTGAGAATGTTAACTGATAGAGATGTGCACCATTATTACAAAAGAAAAAGATTTTGAATGTGAATGTGATTGAATAAAAAAATTATTATTAATTTTCAATAATTTCAAGTTTAATAGTTCACCAATAGCATCGCAACAATTTGCAGGAAAAGGAGCAGAAGATATCAATAACGAACTTACTCAAACAATAGAACGAGTTTTTAATGGACCACAGGGCGGTATAAATCTTGAGAAATTATGTATTATTCCAGGTCAACAATGTTGGGTTGTTTATATTGATGCCTTGGTAAATCTCTTAAAAGTTTATATAAAAAATTTTTATCATTACATTCTAATTCTTCCCTCATCTTCCACTTCAACAATAACAAAAAAAAGGTTCTAGATTATGCAGGTAATATTTTAGATACAATTTTCATAACTACACGTGCAGCACTTTATAACGCGAGAGTGCCAAAGACTATTATTCAAGATCATGGAGATGGTGAGTTTGAGTTTGAGATATCAGATGATGTTGAAGAATGGGAAAGAATATATGGATGGGACATGGTACCAGTTGGTGTTACTTTAAATAGAGTTTGTATACGGATCATTTTTTTTTTTAGAGATGTGATTTAGAGGCATTTAATTGATTAATGATTGATTGTTGATTTATTTTTGTATATAATTATTCAGATTGGAACAAGACATATAGTTGATGCTACACCTTTGGAAGAACTTGCAACAGAAGCAAAGCTATTGGTAACTGTTAATAAGATGGGAAAAATATGTGGAATACAAAAAAGCGGCGGCGGTTGTATTGAACCAAGTCTTTTGAAGGAAATGGTACAGGTAATGATAAAGACAATCATTATCATCATCATCATTATATTTATTGTTATTATTTAATAAATGTAAATTTATGTGTTTTGTATAGACTGGAAGAACTGTAGGTTTAGATTTAATAAGTAGTTTGGATTCTATGCTTAAAAATAAGTAAAACAATAATTAAATGAAATTAATGTGATTTTTTATACAAGTTTTTCTTTTTGATTTTCTAATAATGATAATGATAATAATAATAATAATAAGCTAAACTGTAATCTGTTAATAGCCTGTAATTACCATCGCAAATAAATAGATAATAAATGTTGCATTTGTTATATGATATCTATTGTCAATGTGATTGAAATATGTAGTGAAAAGTACAGTTCACTTTCTCTACAATAACTTTTTCTATATATATAACAAACACTAAACAAAATCACATTATGACGAACTTCTCTTCCATTTTTTATTATTTCTCTATAGCAAACAAAGGCACAAAGAATATATAACCTAAAAGTTCATTATAGAGTGTGGACTATATGATAAGTTTATATACTAAACTTAAATCTATTTGTAAGAATCATAATTTTTAAGGCAGAAAACAAAATGGACTTATCTCAAATCCCTGAATATACATACAAGTTTAACAATTCCATATCAACTAGATCTAACATCAACCATTGCTTTCAAACATTCACTAATTTATTAATAGAAATTTTGTTGTTTAAAAAGATGATTTTTTACATCTGCACTTACTTTCAGTAAATATTTCGTTAGCTATAAAATAATAAATAAATATATCATTTTTTTGTTTATGCGTTTGTTGAAAATCTACATTCTACACCCCCAGTTTCTTAAAAAAATTGATTACAAGCAAAAAATGAACTTCTAAGTCAATTCGTAAGTTCTTTTAAGAAAGTCATTTTCTTAGTATAAGATTGCCCAAGAGGCATTTTATGTAGTTACAAAATCTCAATTAGAAACAACAAGTCGTCATTGAGAACCTTCAAGTATCAGTCAGTATTAGCAACTTTGTTCTTTTAAAGCTTATTACTATAAAACTAATAAAGCCTATATAGTCTAATACGTTTTAATAGGTCCTATGGTTATAAAAATGGTTTCAATTAATACTGTTGCAAATATTAAAAATTCGATTATGAAAATCGTTTTGCGTGATCGATCTACGATCATCATTTAAAAATGTCTTTCAAGTTTAATTTTATGGTGTGTTTTATGGATTTTTTCTATTGAATTGCAATTATCTAAAATTCTAATAAATTGTTTTTTAGACAACTGATTTGGATATATCTGACGAAGAGACATCAATTGTAGAAGATTATGAAATTGATGAAAAAAAAAATCATGTTCACTCGTCAAATAACGATAAAGTATCCAGACCACCATCATTAATTCCTTCAAGTGAGTTTATTCCAACATTTATGGTAATAATTGACAATTTTTGATTTTTAATGTATAGAGCATATATGCACACACACGCGCGCTAATAATATTCAACTGATAATGGTTATTTATTAGTCATTAAAACTTCCCCAAACATTTATGTTTGAGCATGTCGATTCCACTAAAAAATCAACAGAAGAAAAGGTTATTATTTATAAAAGACATTTGGCAGACGTTAAATTTCAGATAGCACAAGAAGATGAAGATCTTGTCATGGATAATAATCAAAAAATAAATAATCCATCAAATATTTTGGAATTATCGATAAAAAATGATTTGATTGAAGGAGTATACGAAGGTTTTTTTAAAAAAAATTTCGCATTTTTTATTTGGGTAACAATAATCTTACTATTATATTTATTTAGGCGGATTAAAAACTTGGGAGTGTTCATTTGACCTGCTTGATTATTTTATAAATGATTTGCAAAATTTTGACTTTGATAATATTAATAAGATATTAGAGGTATTATTTATTATACAAGTCATTTTTCAAAGATTTATATTTATTTATTGTTTTTATTTTAAAAGCTTGGATGTGGGACATCACTTCCTGGCATTTATCTTCTTTCTAAATATTCGTCACTTAAAGTAGATTTTCAAGATTATAATGAACAGGTTTTAAAATTGATCACAATACCAAACATACTACTTAACACAATTTTACGTTCAAAATTAAAAGAGATTAATGAAAAAAATGAAGAAATAGAGATTATTAAAAATGACAAATTATTCAACCAATTAAAAAAAAGTAGATTTTTTATGGGTGATTGGGGTGATTTAGTTGTAAGTGATTTTTAGTGATGATGGTGCTATGATAATAATTTTATTGAGCTCTAATATACATTTATATATGCATATATATCGATTGATAAAATATTACAGGATGTGATCAACATCGATTCAGAAGAAAACAAATATGACATGATAATTACATCGGAAACAATATACAACATTAATTCTTTACCAAAATTGTATAATGTTATCAAAAATACTCTAAAAAGGCCAAATGGCGTTGCGTATCCTTTTGTTAATAGTTATAATAGTAATAATATAAGACAGATTATTTACAATTAAAATAATAATATTCAATCTTAATATTCACTTATATCGTATATATTAGATATGTTGCTGCAAAGTCCATATATTTTGGTGTTGGTGGTAGCATGTTGACATTTCGAGAATTTGTGGAACAAGATAATATATTTGAAGTTAAGTTGGTTAAAACTGTTGAAGCTTTTGTCAAAAGAGAGATTTTGCAACTTAGTTTTTCGAAAATAAATTAATATGAATAATTTTTCAAAGGTATTATTGAGTCTTGAATAATATGTATAGTTGTAAAAATTGAAAATATATATCAATGTATTTTTTATCTCAAGTAAATAATAGTAATAATATAAGATTTACAATTAAAAAAATATATTTAATCTTAATATTCAATTTATAGATAAAATCCATATTATTAACCTAATCAATTGTTGATTAAATAGTTAAGAAAGATAACTAACAATTAATAAAACATCACGATCATGTAAGATTATAAGATAAAATAGTTAAGAAACAATTAATTAATAAAACATCACGATCGCATATGATCGTAAGAAAGTTAAAGACCTCCCAAGCCATTTAACCAAGCACAAGAAGGTTAGTGTGTAGTCATAATCTGTTAAACAAACCATCACTGTCAGAAATCGAGTTTTTCCTTTTTTATCATTATTATTATGAATAAAACCAATATTCGTTAAAAATTTTTTTGGGGCGCTCTGCAGCTTCAACTACACGCGATTAAATTCGTAGAACATCGAAATCCTTTTTTGTAGACAACAAACCATTGCAAAAAATCATTACTGAAATTGGTATTTTTAATTACATTAATTTTATTACTTTTTTTTAATAAATAATTTTATTGTTATTCTGCCATTTCAGTCAACATTTCCCATTCACCCTTTAAATTTTCTTTCCATAATGTGATTTTGTTGTCAGCAGTAGCAACTGCTAATATGTTACCAGAAAGTGACCAACTGACACTCCAAACTGCATCCAAAAATTTCTCATTAAGTTGTTTTTTAGTCCATGGAGAGTTTGGTGTTTCTTGAGTCCAGATCAAAACAGTTTTGTCCTAATATGTATATCGGTACAATAAATATAAATATAAATGTAAATATGAATGTGAATATGAATATAAGTATATAACTAAATTATTTTTTTTTTCTTACTTGAGATCCACTAGCTAAATAACTTTTAGAAAGCCCTACATTAGGAGCCCAAGCTACATCACGAACCCAATCTGTGTGCCCGTCCAAATTCCATTCTTCTTTCCATTCGTTATCACTAAGCATAAATATAAACACATGTATATGTATAATTTGCCAATCATTATTACCAATTTATTTTTTGTCCAATTTCTTTTTAATTACCTATAAATCCAGATTTTTATATTGTTATCGCAGCCTGCTGAAGCAAATTTTTTTGTGACATTAACATTTTGTGCCCCACCGGTAATTTGTACAAGTGAACCTGGCATTGTAGCAGGTGCCCAGCTTACAGAATTAACACCAATCGAATGTGCATCAATTTTTTGTATATCAGCTGCTCCATCATCTATTTAAATAAATAAATCATTATATATATATATATATATATATATATATACATACACACATTTCTATACTTTCCAAATTAATCAATAAAAATTATTAATTTAAACCATTTTTAATTTACCTTTAAATGTTAAAACAGAAACTTTTCCATCTGACGATGCACATGCTAAAATTGGACCAAGCTCATGAGGTGCCCAAGCAACTGAATTTACTATATTTTTTAAAACAAAAAAAAATTAACCTATTCAACCTCTTTGTTTTCCATTTAATTACAAAAATATGTTCATGTGTATATATATATATGCGTAAGCAGAAAGATATATAAATAAATACCAGATGCTGAATGTTTATGTTCTTGGATTTTATTCCAAGATCCATTTTGTTCTTTCCAAATAATTACTTTATTATCATAAGAACATGATGCTAGGATATTACCAAATTTTGGATGTGCCCAAGCAACTTGCCAAACCGGTCCTTCATGCCTAAACAAATATATAGCCATGGTTAAATATTAGTATA